CGACGCCACAGCGGCTCGCACGATGCACTTGAGGCAGAAGGACAGATCGCCCTCTCGGACATTGGACTCGGCGCTCCGGCTTCGATGGAGGATTGCTCGGTTGAAGCTGGTGTGACGGAAACGCACTTCCGGGAGGTGGCGATGTCCCCACCGAATGATGGTTTCGAGTTGCGCACCACTTCTTTCTATGAAGATTACTTGCATCGTGGAGACGTTGAGCCGCTGGCATCCATGAATTTCTATGTTTATGGGATGCATGTCAGTTGTGTGCATGTGCAGCAAGTTGGTAGCAGGCATGCAAATGTTGCTGAATTTGATTTTGTAGCGCATTACACGAAGGCCAAGTATTATGTGCAAATTTTGCATCCTGCTCCTCGGGTGCCATATTTGCATGGTGTGACCATGCCAACGAAGGAGAAGGATCCAGAGATGTGGGCGGCTGTGCACATTGCAGTGCTCCGGAAACATCACTGTTTGAGTAGCAAGTGTTGCGGGCAGGCCCAGGCTGTCAATCACATCCGGAAAATGCCAGTAGCAAGGAGGCGTCGCATTTTGGTGGCCGGCGGTGATATCAGACAGGTAGCTGACAAAACAGGAGTATTGTCTGAGTGGAAGGCAACTGAAGCTGAAATGCAAACGCTTGCAGATCGAGCCGATGTTACTTGGCAAGTACTTCATGACATGGTGTGAAGTATTTTGAAGTTTTTGTGTTCCATCAAAGCCAGGTGTGTTTGTTTGGAAAGCAGGACTTGTTTTTCGAATAGATTTGATGCGGTATCGTCAGGTTAAGCTGCATGTGGCGAAGCGGTGTCATACTGTGACTTGGACAATTTCACTGGGTGTGAAAGATTTTTTTGTGTTATCGATTTGCAATGCCTTCATGATTTTCAGATGATAGGAAGATGTAGAAAGAACCACGGATGCGATATGTAAAAGATGAAAGAATGTTTCGATGGGAACCATGTTTGATGCGGTGTCGTTTCTGATTCTTTTTGTTTGCAGACATGGATGCATTGTGCATGAGCCGCGACGAGGTGGTGGACACCATTGCTGTGCGAGAGTTTGAAGTGCCTGGTGCGAAGCACAAGAGCGATACTTTGTCGTTCCTGCTGGATTGCTTTGGGCAAGTCAAACGTCCTCTGGCACGTGTTCGGAAAGTTCATCGCGCCAGAGGGAAGCAAAGCAGTCAGATGAAGGGTTTTGTCTTGCCTTGCTTCAGTCATCGTGTTCTCAGCATCGTCTTTGATTTTGTTGGCCTGCTGCTTGATGATGATCGAGAAGTGACATTGATCGGCAATTCCGATGAACACTTTGCTAAAGCAGCAGCAGTTTTGTCGGTTGGTGGGTCTGTGAGACGTGCATCATACGGTTGGCATCCGGAGCAATTGTCGGCTGCGGAATATGTTGCAGTTGTGTCCCGCGAAGTGAGTGCAAATCTCGACTTGATGTCTGAAGCACGAAGAAGGCCACGACCAGCACAGGTGCAACCCAGCGCCGAAGACAATGCAGAAGATTTGGGTCTGAAGGCCGAGTATGTGGAGGTTGAGGGCACTGAGACCACAAAATGCAAATATTTGCACTTTAGGCACTTAATGAATTTATAAGTATACTATAAGTTACTATTATCCTTCTAATATCTTGTTCAAATTGTTTTTTCAAAAATATTTTGTTATAAGTTCCACTAAATTTTTAGGTGAACTTATAACATAATAAGGAAAATATAAGCAAATATAGTAGAATATTAGTCAAAAATAAGCCAAAATAAGCGAAAAGAAGTGATAAGAAGTGAAATTTGATTTTTATGTGTGTTTGATAGATTCGCAGGAATGTTGATTTTCGACGAAACAATATTGTCTCAGAGCACTACTTTTCTGACGAAACCTTCCTGAACAGGAATATGCTGCTAAAGAACAATTCTCTGAAGGCGCCTATTTGGAAAAAAAAATGGTAGGAAAAAAAAATGTAGGGACAATTTCTCTGCAGGATACTTCCTGAAAAGGAAAAATTGTGTGGGGAATAGTTCTCTGCAGGATACTTCCTGGAAAGGAAAAAAATTGTAGGGAATAGTTCTCTGCAGGATACTTCCTGGAAAGGAAAAAAATGTAGGGAATAGTTCTCTGCAGGATACTTCCTGGAAAGGAAAAAAATTGTAGGGAATAGTTCTCTGCAGGATACTTCCTGGAAAGGAAAAAAATTGTAGGGAATAGTTCTCTGCAGGATACTTCCTGGAAAGGAAAAAATTTGTAGGGAATAGTTCTCTGCAGGATACTTCCTGGAAAGGAAAAAAATTGTAGGGAATAGTTCTCTGCAGGATACTTCCTGGAAAGGAAAAAATTGTAGGGAATAGTTCTCTGCAGGATACTTCCTGGAAAGGAAAAATTTTGTAGGGAATAGTTCTCTGCAGGATACTTCCTGGAAAGGAAAAAATTTGTAGGGAATAGTTCTCTGCAGGATACTTCCTGGAAAGGAAAAAAATTGTAGGGAATAGTTCTCTGCAGGATACTTCCTGGAAAGGAAAATTTAGAAAATTCAGAAAATTCAGAAAAAATCAGAAAATTCAGAAAACTCAGAAATTTCAGACATTTCCGAAAATTCAGAAAATTCAGAAAATTCAGAAAACTCAGAAATTTCAGAAAATTCAGAAAATTCAAAAATTTCAGAAAATTCAGAAAATTCAGAAAATTCAAAAATTTCAGAAAATTCAGAAAATTCACAAAATTCAGAAACCCAGAAAATTCAGAAAAGTCAGAAAAGTCAGAAAATTCAGAAAATTCAGTTTCAGAAAATTCAGAAAATTCAAAAATTTCAGGAAAATTCAGAAAATTCAGAAAATTCAGAAAATTCAGAAAATTCAAAATTCAAAATTCAGAAAATTCAGAAAATTCAGAAAATTCAGAAATTTCAGAAATTTCAGAAAATTCAGAAAATTCAGAAAATTCAGAAAAGTCAGAAAATTCAGAAAATCAGAAAATTCAGAAAATTCAGAAAATCCAGAAAATTCAGAAATTTCAGAAATTTCAGAAAATTCAGGAAATATTTATAGAGAAAAAAAAAGGATAAGTAAGTATTTATAATAATGTCAAGTTAGGATTAATAATTCCCTGCGATTAATCAACCACCAAAATCTCAGCAAAAAAACCGTATGAACAAAGTATGCGAAATCAAAAGAAAGTAAATTGTAGAACAATATGAACAATAAAACATAAATAGCAATTATAGAAAATACATTTTCAAAACAAAAAGCAAGCCAGCTAGCTTTAAATCTTTTACCAACAAAAAAATATAATAGAATATTTTCCAAATTAGGTATCCATCTTCATCCCTGAATTATGTAGTTTGGAAGTAGTAACCGAAGCCTCATGTTGTGAAAGATCTCATTCTGGGCAGTCGTATACAATTGAAGAAGACACATCAAAAGAGCAATTGTTCTTTCCAAGAAGCATCCTTTATATGTTTTTTTCCTTTTGCCTCTGAATGATTTCTCCACAGATGTACTTCAAGATTCTTTGTGTCACTCGCAGCCGCGCATATTCCTGTAGAAGAACCATTTCCTGTAGAAGATAACTCCTGAAAAGCATTGTTCCTGAAAATGAAATCAATCTGAATAGAAAGATTCCTGTTAAGGATAGTTCCTGAAAAGGATTCATTCTGAATAAAAAAAATCCTGAAAGGATAAGTCCTGAAAAGGATAATTCCTGAAAAGGATAAATCCTGAAAAGGGTGATTTCTAAAAGGATGATGCCTGAAAAGAATGAAAAAAAACAATGAAAAAAGGCAAGAAAAATATTCCAAAGGAAACAAAAAGGTCGACAACTATTTTCAAAAAATATATAACAGAAAAATGCATCGTCTATAATCAATTCTGATCATCAAAAAAACATTGAAAAATAAGTGAAAATAAGTAAAAATAAAGAAAAAACACTTCTATGATAAGTTCATATAACTACTAATATCTTCATTAAGTGCCTAAAGTGAAAATATCTTCATTTTGTGGTCTTAGCAGTGATGGCAGTGTGGATGCTGATGATTTGGAGCATGTGCCGCTTGTGAAGCCGGATGTCCAATATCAACCGCGGCTGCATGTCGATCAGGGGGATGTATTGACTTTGGCCCATCGGTTGACGGTGAAAACTGGCGGGCCGGGCAAGGTCAGCGCGAGCACGCAGAGGGCAACTGAGTTCGTGAAGCAGTATGCGGAGAAGTATGTCGAAATTCAACGACCCAGGGCATGTCATCGGGAGGATGCAAGTGGCGATGTTCCTGTGTCCATGCCGCTGCGACAAGGTGATATTCACATGGGATTGAAACATCAGAGTACTTTGTTGGAAGCTCGCAAGGAGAAGGATTTGCAAGCTGGTGCAGAGAGTGACCATGAATTCACAACAAACATTTCTAGTCGAGAAATTGAAGCTGGTGTGGCTCCTTTTGCGCGTGTGTTGACTCTTTCTCCTGCCGAAAAGGCGATGCAGTTGTTGCAGCAGAAATTGCCGGTCGTCACGGATGTTGTGGCCAATGTGGCAGCAGTCGCATCCCCTGAGCATCCGATATTGATTTCAATCAATATCAGTTTTGTGATATTGATTTCAAAGGGAAATCAATATAAAAATCAATATTTCTCAACCTCAAAAATCAATATTTTTTCCTAGGTTTTTGAAGACAAAAATCAATATCCAAATGGGCATTTTTTGACTTTTTTTTGGCCCCAAACTTCTACTTTTAGGGTACTTTTCCCAGGCCATCCACTTTCAGCTGCCAGGCACTTTTTAAAGCATGAGTGGGTGAATCCTGCTCGAAGTTCAAGCCTTTTTTGCAAAGGCACATTTTTCTCTTTTGTGCTGCCTTTTTTCCAAAGGTCTCCATATGTGAGCTACCTTTTTTCCAAAGGCTTCCTTGTGAGCTACTTTTTTCCAAAGATTTCCTTAGGCCACAGGTCAACCTTTTTTCCAAAGGTTTCCATGGAACCTTTTTTTCAAAGGTGTTTGCGACCTTTTTTCCAAAGGCTAACCTTCCATGCTGAAGCCTTCTCTTGTAAGCAACAAATGGAGTAGAATTGCATACTTGGGGAGAACTTTGGTGCTGAGCCTGGTGCTTGCCACTCCAGAGGTGCAAGAGTGTGCAAGCCTGGCTATAGCCCCCACAAAGTCTTCTGACTTAAAGCACCAATGGAATCTAGGATTCATTTCTGCAGCTCCAAGGCAAAGATGGATGAAGGTGTGGTGCTTGAAGACAATGTGGAAAAGCTTTCTGCCAGATGTTTCTGCCCAATGGTTCAAGTAGGTGTATTCCTGCAGGAAGGAGTTGCACAAACTCATTGTGAATTCTTCTTCTGCTTCAGTGAGGAAGATGTCTGCTGAATCCCACAAGAAGACCAGCTGCACCATGATCTCGACACATTGTATCATATGGGCATGGTGGTCCCTTTCTGGACCAAGCATTTTTTTCATCACCTCCAGCAGGGCTGGTGCCAACCATTTGCATTCGCCCCCTTTTGCATCTAGGAATGCATGGGACTGGTGTGGGGACTTTTCATTGGTAAACATGCTGAGCTTGAGGTTGGTGAGCACTGTTCCAGCCCCTTGCACTTTGTAGAATTTCTGCACTTCAGTAAAGATGACAGCAAGGCGCTCCTGTGGTTTGACCACTTGGTGTCCAGTGATTGGGTCAAACCAGCACATGTAGTGCAGGCAGCTTCCCAACAGATGGGCATACAATCCCTTTGTGAAAAGGATATGTAAGCCATCCCCCCTCACCATCCTGCTGGTGACCCCATCAATGCTGAAGATTGGATGGGTGGAGCTGGGGTTGGCCTTGGCCACCTTTGTGTTCACATAGGTGAACACATCTGGATCCAACCAAGAATATGGAAGGTCTCCACTCTTGCTGGTGCAGTTGCATTGGTGGCATGGATTCTTTGATGCCCAGTGAGGCAAGCCCAGCTGCAAGGAGAAGAATTCCTGATCACCAATGATGGTCCAGATGGCTGCTGTGAAAGAAGATGCCAAAGCCTTTCCTTTGTGTGGATAGAAAGGCGACCCTTTTTCCAAGGGTTTTCCATCTGGATCCCTGGAGGGGTGGAAGCCTTTTTGCAAGGCATGGAAACTCCAGCTGAACCATTTCCACAAAGCTGGCCAGGTGTCCTTTGTGGTGGCCACCTTTCGGAAGACACCCATCAAAAGGTGAGAGTCAAGACTCCCAAAGAGATTGAGGACACACCCAAAGGAATATATCATGAGAGAATCCCTTGTCATAAATTCAGCACCATCCCCATGGACAAAGATGGGTATGGTCTGGGTTCTCCAATTCTCCCTTTTTTTCAAAGGGTGCCCCTTCAATCTATCATCCTTCTTGCTTTCAACCCCCTTCCAAAACTCTTCTAGCTTTGGTGGGCAAAACAGCTCTGCCCATTTGGTTGGATAGTGCTCATAGAGAGCTGAGAACATTGTGTGGGGGAGAAAGATGGATGCTGTGGAGGTTGAAGCTTGGCTGGTTTTGGGGTCCAAGCAGGGCACCTCCACATCAAACCCAGCTGGGATGGAAACATTAGGCAAAAAGGTTTGCATGATTGCCTTGTGAATGTTCCCTGGGTTTTCACCATAATTGCCACTTTTTGCAAGGGCTGCCACTTCTGCATGGCTGGTTCCACCAAGCTGTGCCAAATGTGCCAATTCTTGTATGGCTTTGGCACTCAAAGTACCATGGGCCCAGTGGCTCAGCAGCTTGGTGGCAAAGGGGCTTGGATGTTCTGCCTCTGCATCTGGCCTTTCTGCAAGGCCTAGCTCCACATCCTTTTTCCATCCCCTTAATCTTTTTGTCATTGTTCAAGGGTTTCTTTTTTCCAAAGAATTTCTTGCCACCTTTTTTCCAAAGGTTCTCCTGGAATCTTTGCTCCAAAGCCAAAGCCTTTTTGCCAAAGCCTTTTTCCCAAAGGCTCCTTTCAAAGACTTGCTTTTGCCCCCTTGTCTGCAACCCTTTTTCCAAGGGCTCTCTTTCCCAGAAACTAAATGGTATCTGCCAGCTACTCTCTTGAGCAACAGCTGGCTGCCAACAAGCATCCTTGACTGAGACCTTATGCAACAGGGGGGCAGGTGCTAAGTGCTAACAGTACTACAAACAAGCATGCAAAAAAAAAAACAGGTACACACATTTAGAACAAACCTACAAGAAAAGACTCAAATGGTATCATGCCCCCTTGCCAACCCCCCTGGTGAAGCTCCTTTTTTTGCTTGGTGAATGGACAAAAGTCTGGTGTTCAGCCATGAAAAAATGAAAGGGAACCACCTTTCTTGCAAAGGTTCCCTCTTGTGAGGGGGCTCCCATCAAAACTGTCTTTTTCCAAGGCATGCTACCCAGTGGCCCTTTTTCCCAAAGGATGTTTGGAACTTCACCCATCAAAATTGTTTCCCACCTCACCTTGTGCTCAAGTGCTGTACATGTTTGGTTTACCTTTTTTCCAAAGGCTTCTCTTGGGGTACATTTTTTCCAAAGGCCTCTTGTGGGTCTACCTTTTTTCCAAAGGCCTCTTGTGGGACCACCTTTTTTCCAAAGGTCTCTTGTGGAGCACTTTTTTCCCAACTTCCTTTTTCTGCAGCAACCTTTTTTCCAAAGGTTTACTTTTTGGACTTGGCACTGGCTGCCTTGGAAGCAATGCTGCCAGCCTTGTTGGCCAATTGCTTCAACTCTTTCATTGTGTCCTTTACCTCCTTGACTTTGTTGGCAGTTTCTTGAAGCATAGACTTTAACTTTTTCAGGGGTACATTTTCTTTGCTGACAGCTTCCTTCAGTTTGTTGCCCATGGCAGCCAAGAGCTGCTGGTCCTTCAAGCCATTTTGCTTTGATGCCTTGCTCAAGTAGGGGTTTGCTTTTGCCAAGCAATCCTCAAAGTCTGCACAGACTGCTGTTGCCATGTCCCTGGCCTTCTTTGCTTTCTTGTAAGCATCCTTCAGCTGCTCTTCTTCTGTTTTGTCTTCATCCTCTTCTTCATCTTCTGTATGCTTTTCTTCCCTATCCTGCAAGGCCAGCTGACTATCTCCTTTTCCTTTTCCCTTTCCTTTGCCTTTCCCTTTCCCTTTGCTTGAGCTTTTTCCAAGCCCTTTGCTGCCAGAACTCTGAGCCAAGAGCCTGCTGGCATTAGCTTTCATGTTGCCTTGCATGCATGAGTCCAGGAGCATCTCATCATCAGAGTTTGGAACATACTCTTGTGCAATTCTGGCTCGTTTTTTTGATTGTGCAGCCTGGACTGTGACCCAATCCTGCATGTCACAATACTCATAGACCCCCCAGGTAGAGGCACACTCCCTTCCTACAATCCTCCCAGATGCTAGATGCATCTGTAATTCCTCCCAAGACCATTTTGTGAGCATCACCATCTCACTGACCCACTGCTCACTCCTCTTTGCCTTGGTGGATCCTTCCATCTCCTTGGACACCTGGTAGTACTTTGGATGCTCTTTTTTCAAGAGCCACATCATTGTCATGTCGGTTTTTTCCTTTTTGCTTGCTTCATCATATGTGCTCTTTTCATCCTGGTTGCCTCTCAAGTAGGTCTGGTGTTTGGACCACAGTTTTGTTTTTTCATCCTTGGCCATGAGCTTCTGCAGGAGTGCCTTTGCTCCTTCCACTGTCTCTTCCTCACCTGCTTTTTTCAGCTTGTCTTGAAGAGACATTTGCCCTTGGCTTTTTTCAAGCCTCCTCAAATTTGCTGATGTAAGTGTTTTCATTGCCTTTTTGCCACCAGCTTTGTTCTTTTTGCAAGAACTCTTAGCTTTTGCTTTTGCTTTTGGCCCTTTTTGCAAGGGCTTTGATTTCATGGCCTTCCCCATGGCACCCTTTTGAAATCTAGAAATAACAACCTTGAGCCAAACCTGTTTCAGGTGACATTCATTTTTTTACATCTTTTCTCAACAAAATGAACTTTGGTGAACTTTGGCCAATTTTGGTCAAATCTAATCAAATTTGGTCAAATTTTGGTCAAACATATGTTTTGACTAGATTTGACCAAAGTTTGACCAAAGTTGACCAAAATTGACCAAATTTGACCAAAATTGACCAAAACTGAAAAATATGGATTTGTTCCAGACAAAATGGGACCAATAGATTTCATCATTGTTTTGAAATTATTCTTTGTGGGGAATGCCCAGAAACATTTTCTTTAACAGACATGAACCATTGCTGTATGATGTGTTATTTTGTGGAGTGGCAATCACAATTTTCTTTTCACAAAGATAAACCATTGTTTTTTATGATCTGTGATCTAAAGAAAAGAATGTGCACCCCTGGTCTATCATCAGTTTGGTGGATCAAGAACACCCTGTGCAAAAAAGGGACCCTTTATTTTTGGATGGGTTTAAAGAGTTGTGACCCAAACCAGTTTCATGAGAAACATGCACATTTCCCAGCCCTTTTTTTCTGCCAGCTGGTGATGTACACCAGGGTTGTGCCAACAACTTTGCAACCTTCAGGCAGCCAGGCTTTGACCTTTTTTCCAAAGGTTCCTTCATTTTGAAGGGGCTGCCTTCAGGCAAAAGCAATATCTTTTTTCCAAAGATTTGTTGTTGGAGGTTGAAAAACACACCTTTTTTCCAAAGGTTCTTGATCCTGCTCATCATTTTGTTCTCCCTTTTTTCCAAAGGGTTCCCAATCATCTGAACCTTTTTTCCAAAGGTTTTCAATCATCCACAAGGGCTTCCACCACTTTGACAAAGTCCCTGTAGGTCTCCAGGCCTTCCTTCTTGGCCCATGTGTGGTGCTCATGCCTGGTGGTCACTGGGTAGACCTTCAATCCTTTTTCCAAGGATTCCTTGCAGATGTCTGCATTGTCATCTACCAGGTGTGTGCACCCCAAATGCTTGGCCCACTCTGCTTTCCCCCAGGGGCCACACCTGTCCCCAACTACCTTGATGTAGCCCCACTTGATGGGGAGAGACTTGGCCCATTTGACCACTGTGTCACCCCTTTCTCTGCCACAAAAGGTCAAGAGATAAATCTCAAACCCTTCTGCCTGCAGGTCCCAGAACGCTCTGATGTGGGCATTTGGCACATAGTCTTCCCCCTTGTGGGTCAGCTGGAAGACATTGTGCCAATCCAGGGCCAACCTTTGCCTTATTTCCAAAGGCCTAGGGATCTCTTGCCTTTTTTCCAAAGGCTCAGTGACCCCCTGCCTTTTTTGCAAAGGCTCCAGCAGAGACATCCTGGCAGGCTGTGCAGGTGTCCCCTTTTGGCTGCTGGCCCTAGAGGAGCTGGCAGATTCTGACCCCAGGCTCACATACCCCCTGCTTGTTCTTTGCTTTTGCTTTGGGGTCTTGTGATCCTGCAACCCACCTTTCACCACCACATCCAGGTAGGTTTTTTTCTCTGCCTGCTTTTCTTTTTTCTTTCTTTTGTTTGTGGCCACTTGCCATTCTTCTTCTGTTGGCTCTGGTGCAGGCTCTTGCTTGGCAGTTTCCAAGGGCTTGCCTGCTTCTTGTCCAGGTTCATTTTTTGCTTGCCCTTTTTCCAAGGGTTTTGCAGGCTCATGTGCTGCTAGCTCTGTTTCCACAGGCTTGCTTTCTTCTTTTTTTTGGGGTTCATTTTCTGCTTGCCTTTTTTCCAAAGGCTTTGCAAGCTCTTCTGTTGCTTTCCCTTTTTCCAAGGGTTTTCCAGGCTCTTCTTTTGCTGCATCCTTTTCCAATGGCTTTTCAGGCTTTTCTTTTACTGCCTCTTTTTCCAAGGGCTTTGCATGCTCTCCTGAGGAAGAGCTGGCTGAGGCTCCACTTGCTGCCTCCTTTTCAGCCTTCTTGGGCTCCAATTTTTTGGATGCTGCCCCTTTCTCTTTGGGGTCATCTGTTGTTTTTTTCCTTTTTTCCAAAGGTTGTTGTGTCTCCTCTTGGATGACTTCCATTGCTTCAGTTTTTTTTCCCTTTTGCCCTTTTTCCAAGGGCTGTTGGTCTGTGTTTCCTGCAAACTGGGCTGCTCTTCTTGCTTGTCTGGCCCATGTGGTGGAACCCTTTCCTTTGAGCCTTCCCACTTTGTTGTATGGGTTCCACCACTCATCATCTTTTTCCCACTTTGCTTGATCCCACTTGTATGGTTTCTTGGCCATTTTTTCAATGGCTCTCAGAGGGTGCCTTTATGGCAAAGGCTGCCCTTGTTGCAAGGGCTTCCAAGGATCTTCTGCACCACCAGCCAAGGCGAAAGAGTAAGGTTGGTGGGCAAGTTTGAGCTTAAAAAGGCTGCAGACATGCATGGCTTCATCACTGTGGCAGAAGCTACTTAGCTGCAACTACCCAAGGCTGGACCCTTTCAAACCTACAGACCTGGTGCCTTTACTTGACAAGCTAACAACAACAGCAACAACTACTATATACCTACCATACCATATTTTTGGTGGGGGTCCCTACTTCAGGTGGCAGTGGGGTGGGCAAGCTGAGTGGCAGCAGCTACTTTTTGCTTGGCTGGGAATGTGCAAGCTCTGAGGTTTGGAAACAGAAAAACTTTGCCAAACTAGATCTGCTGAGCAGTTCTTGGCTGATTGATGCCTTGCCATACCTTTTTTTCAAAGGCCCAACCTGTTGCAAAAGCATGCAGGTACCTTTTTGCCAAAGGTTCTGTGACTGGCTGCCTGTTTTGAAAGAGGATGTCTTTTTTCCAAAGACTGTACCATATATCATTTTTTCCAATGGCTGTTGGCTGCATATTCCTGCCATCAAAGGATATATAGCACACCCTTTTGTTTTCCAAATGTTTGTTTTTTCACAGGCAGTTTGCCACAACCTTTTTTTCAAAGGCTGCAGGCAACCTTTTTTTGCAAAGGCTGCAGGCAACCTTTTTTGCAAAGGTTGTGGCCTACCTTTCCCACATTTGCTACCTTTTTTCCAAAGGTTTTATTTTGGTTGGAATCTTCCCCAATCCTTTTTTCCAAAGGAGCCACCTTTTTTCCAAAGGTTGCCATTTTTGCACAAGTTTTAATCTATTGTTTTCTTGACCAGTTTGGACCTTAAATCCAAAGCTTCTGCTTTGGTGCTGCCTTGTTCAATGGCTTTCTTGAGCTTTCCAATCACACCCTTATAATCTTTGGTCCACTTTGCTGGGACCTCCACAATCAACATCCTTTGGGTGCTGCCTTTCTGGCACCCTGTGATATAACTTCTTTCTGGGTAGGTAGCATTGCACACACTCAAATGTGTCCATGTCTGGTGAGGGTCTATGTTGCTTGCCTGCCTTTTTTTCAAAGGCTTGCCTTTTTTGCTTGAAGCCTCTTTTTTCAAGGGCTTGTCTTTCTTGCTTGCTGGCCTTTTCATGGTTTTGCTTCCATACCCCATCTTTCTTTTCAAAGAATCACTTTTGCCACCACTGCTTTCACTTTCCTTTGCTTCTTTCAGTTTCCTTTTTTCCAAAGGGTTTGCTTTGCACATTGCTCCAGGCCTTTTCCATTTGGTGTCAGAAGGTTTGTGCACAATGGCTGTACTCTTTTCTTTTTTGGGTGATTTTTTGTCAGGTGTTGCAAACATGTTTGGCATGCCATCACTGTCTAGAGATGCCCCACTCAAGTTTGGCTTCAGTACCATCCCTTTTTTCAAGGGTTCATCAGGCTCATCCTTAAGAACCACTTGGGAAAACACAGCTTCTAGCTCCTGGTACTCAGTGCTTGTCAGCTTGGCTGTGCACAGCCTTTGTTGTTCTATGTCTCTAGCTACTTTTCTGCAATGAGCCAGAAGAACTGTGATTCTCTCAGCTTTGATGTTTGCCCAAGTTGCTCCATTGAATTTTGATGTGTTTACTGACACATTGTGTGTCAGCAGGTGTGTGAGGCTTGTTCGAAGAGCTTGTGAAGAAACTTCACAAGTTGGTGTAGCCTCAATGAAATCCTGCAGGAGGCCTTTGCACTTGAGCAACCCCTTTGGATTTACTGCAGCTGTTTTTGAAATTGTCTCATACAGGCCCAGGTTCTTGACTGTTTCTGAATTGTTCTTCAGAATTTTCAGTAATATGCCCAAGTCTATTGCAGGCTTAGCAAAGTGTTTGGGGCCTCCCTTGGGCATTTCCCTTTTTCCAAGGGATGGTGCTTAACAATGTTAGCTGGTTTTCTCCCTCCTTTTTTGCAAAGGTTACCAAGATGCCCTTTTCTAAAAGCTGCAACAGCACAGGTGCCAAGGGGATGGCTTTGAACCAAAAACTGCAAACAAACAGTGTACATGCAGCACACTGCCAAATCTGAGTAGCTGACCCTTGAGGAAACACAAAATCATCCATTTTAGCAGAAAAGTTGGTCAACCAAAAAATATGAAAAAATCCAACAGAAAATCAATATTGAAATCAATATCAAAATCAATATCCAAATCAATATTTTCACCAAAGAAATCAATATCCAAAATATTGATATTATCAATATTTTTTGAAAAATCAATATCAATATTTTTTCATAGGAAAATATTGATTGAAATCAATATCGGATGCTCAGGGTCTGGAGCTGTGTCGAATTTTGCTATTTCTGGTGATCAATACAATGTTGTGATTTTGGCAATTGCACCTTTGCAGCGCCTGTGTGAGAAGGCCAAGGACAAGCAGATGGTGTCATATTTTGGTGATCCGACTCAAATCGAGAAGCTTCTCGATCTCATCACACCAGTTCCTCGGTCTGAATTTCATAATCATTGTATTTTCTTGTTTTGTTTGAGCTGTTAGGACAGTGTTAGCTGAAATCATGGTTTATGCTTTTACGTGATTTAAAGCTGTGGCAGGATATGGTCAGTCGCATCTTTGTCCATGGCCCGGGCGGGAGCGGCAAGACGTTTATGTTGAACGAAGTGATTCTGCCGGTATACGAAGAATACCTGCCTGGTATGTCGAAAGGGGTGGCAGCGCAGAATTCTGCGGCTCGGCTCATCGGAGGATCCACCTTCCATCACATGGCCGGTCTTGGCCGGAAGCAGGACCTCCTCCTGAAGAAGCCGACGCGCGATCGCCGAGAGGCGTTGCGCAAGAAATGGCGCCGCGTCGCCTTGCTCTTCATCGACGAGATTTCCTTGACACCACCAAATTTGCTTGCCGTTCTGCACGCATCGGCTTGTTGGGGGCGATGTGATGTAGATCCCGGGCAATTCTTGGATCACGTCTTTGGAGATATTCTTTGTCAGATCTTGGCAGGAGATTTTTTGCAGCTCAATCCGGTCCGGAATCATTCTCTCATGGGAGCATTTGGCATCGATGTTCCCGGAGTCCCACTGTATGAGAAGATGGATCCAGTGCAGCGGCAAAAAAAGCAAGAGCTTGATGAGCACGGATACAACGTGTTTCGGAAATTTATAAAGCAAACCGTCCTTTTCCGGGGATCTCACCGTTTCAAAAAAGGCGATCCACTGGCTACCTTGCTGGTGAAGATGCGTCAAGTTGGCGGTGTGGCGTTGTCCCAGGAATTGAAAGATGCAATGTCACGGCAGATTTATCGTCCTCTGACTGGGGATGCTCGCTTGGCATCGGATTACTGCATGTACGACGACAAGGGATTGCAAATCGGTCCCAAGGGGTTTTTTGCTCGTGGTGTCTTCAGTGCTGTGAATTGGGACCAAGTTGCTCGACTTCAACAGGTCTGTGCTTATGAGTCTGCACGTGCTACTTTTGGCTGTTCGGCTGATCACAATACCAGCAAGGGAAAGCCTAGAATCATATCTCGTGGCTTTCCCATGTATTTGTCGCGTTCCTTCAATGCCCAGTACGGCAAGTGTATGCAAGCCGTAGCCTCGAGGATGGTGCCATTTCTGCATTTCCAGGGACAGTTGTTGTATTATGTGCAGGCGGTGGATTTGATTCATCAACGTGAGTTTGGGAATGATGCCAGCATTCTTCGTGACATTTTAAATGTGACCAACATGGCCAGTAAGACGGGCAACCTGATTTCCTTTTTGCCTCTGCATGTGGGTCTTAAAGTTAAAATTACCAAAAAGTTGTTGCCGCCTGAGATCGTGCAAGAGTGCCCGTGCGAAGTGATTGGCATTCAGATGCATCCCAATGAACGCTTTGGCAGTCCTCGTCATGCTCCTGGATGGACAGCAAGTCCCCGATCCTGGACATTCTTGCTGGACAACTGGATACGTCCGTCTGGACTATTTGCCCGCGGCAATTGCCGTCCGAGTGGAGGCGGGTCGTGTGGCATTAATAGTATCGGTATAATTGTTCTGCAGAGTTAGATAAGTTCAAGATAGCATGTAGAAGGAGTCAAGAACGTCATGCATGCTTTCATCTTTGTGTTTGCAGAGCTTGTGGAATCAAATGGTGCTGTGTAGAGTGTAAAGTAAATGGCAACTTTTCATTTCATGGCAGTCAGGTGGTGATGTCCTTGACGTGTGAGATTGTGGTAGTTTTTGGGGGTGGAGTGTGGAGTGCATAGTGTTGATTGTGTTGTGCACACATGAGCACGTTGACTGGACAGGATCGCTGTGACGATTACACCGGACGAGCACTACCGGGCGTGTACTTGTTGGAACCGTCAGAAGACAACTTTAGCATCAGTCTTCGACGGCGTGGCGAGCTGCAGCTGGATGTAACGCGGATCCAATTCCCGTTAGCTCCATCTGCAGCCGGCACTTTCAATAATAGTCAAGGCAAGACGGTCCGAGGACAAGGACATACCATCGATTGCACTCGGCCATCGTATTTCGGCCGCGATGTGTACATCCAACATCTCTACATGATTCTTGGGCGCGCTCAATCGCTGCAGTATTCGCTTTTCCGGAACTTCCCGACATTGGAAAACGGCGATGTGGACTGGTCTTTTTTCGAAAATGGACCGCCACAATACATCGCCGATTTTCTGGATCGTCTCGAGGCGGGGAAATCCATGAAAATGCTCACCAGGTGGCGTTGCCCCCGATGGAGGTCAGGTGGCGCTGGCCCCGGCCGATC